CAGTGTCCTTGTAAGGAAAGTGAGACAGGAACATGACTTCTAATGGGAAGAGCTGGTGAACAAAGGAAATAGAAGGATTAAGCTCCCTTTACTGAAAAGCAGAAGCAAGTTTTCTGTCAGTAAAGCCTGTCATCTCTTTATCAACTGAGAAACGAGGATTCAAGCACCGACTTCACTATACCTCGCTGAAAAATCTATTGACTGCACGCTACGATGCAGCAGTTCGTACCTCATTTGTGATAAATGAAGCATACTGCAGCTGCCTCTGCAAATACGATTATCAATAATGAAAATTTGTATTAAAGTTGCACCCAAAACCCCATTACTGGATAGGTTTCGCATGCTTAAAGCCAGTGGCACCTTTGCTAAAGACTACTGCAAAGAGCAGGCAATCCCGTTGCTACAAAAACAAAAACATACTCGCAAGAATTTAAGGCTACTGTACACATGGGTTTCCTACTTATCTGTCTGGAAATCAAGAGGGGCAGATTTGGGGGATTTTCCATATTTAGGACATATTCATGCTTCTGACTGTGCTCTTCATTAAACTGGTCACAAATAAAGCAGAAAGCTCCTCGGGAAGAGGGGAGGCTCGTTGTTTATTTGCTGTATGTTTCACCTGTGTGTGCATGGGAAGTCTAACACATCTCAGCTGCACCTGCATGAGCCATCCTCATTGACACCTCAGAAACATCGACTGAGCATGGGGTACACAGCATCTGGGCATGTATTTCTGCCTGGGAAGTAACACAGAGAGTTGGAGTAGCTCCAGTTTAAAGGAACTGGGGGAAAGTGCTTTGATGTGAAATGCACGTGCCTGTCACAGACACCAGAGAGACAGATATAGGAAAACAGAGAGATGGAATGTGCTGGCTTTGGCTGGGGTAGAGTTAATTTTCTTCATAGCAGCTAGTATGGGGCTATGTTTTGGATTTGTGCTGGGAACAGCACAACACAGGGACACCCAGAGAGTAATCAAGTGGTACAGCAAGAGAGACAAAAGCAAGGCGGAGAGAAACAGAACAAAATGAGGGAATAAAGGGGAAAACGGGGCTTTGTTACACAGAGGGGTCAGGTAGGTGGAAAATGGGAAGTGGGAGAGAAACAGTGATAGAAATTGGGGGAAAAAGCTGGAAGGACAGAGAAAGGGGGGACATGGGTGGACAGGGGAAAAACAGGCAAGGTCACAGAGACATGGCAGAGGGCAGAGGAAAGAAAGGCGACACACATACATGGAGGAGCAAGTGTGGCACAGAGAAAGTGTCTGATGCCACAGCCTCAAAATTGGAGGTGAATCTTTTCTGGGCAGCTGAAACAGGTGAGGTGCAAACAGCAATGCAACTGGCTCCGGCTGCTCACGTACTGCTGGTTCTGGTAAGAACCTAGCACTTGCTTTGAAAATAAACATATGTCATAACACACACAACTCCACATCACCTGGTCCTAAAAGGAAAAATTGGACATCATTGTGGTTACCTGCTGAGACCTAAACAAATAAGATACTTAATCTGGACTGGAGACCTATTTGTATTAGAAGAGCTAAGATGTTGGATTCATGACACTACATTATCATGGGTGTAAGACAATCGCTACACTCAAGCCTGTGGTCCAAAAACCAAAAGGGTTTGGCTAGACAATGAATGTTTGTGAGAAAGGTCAATGCAGCTTTTCTTAGTGACAATTCAAAACTGATCTTCAGATATTTTAAGATAGAAGTAAAGCAGAAGAACAGAAGGATGCAGTGCGTAGGGGTAACATCAATGAAAAGAAGAACTGGGATGGTTGTTCCACATCACCCTCTGGATCCTCACCATTTGATACGCACCACAGGCGTGAGAGATTCTTGCTCTATACACAACACTAGAGGTACAACCAAGGTATAGTGCTAAACTGGTGGCACTTGCGTATGGAGCCACTACCTCTAATTAAAATAAAGATGCACCTAATCCCACACTACATCTAGTCACCAGGCCAATGGTGCCTGCAACAGCTTCTGCCAATTCCCATGGTTTGTCTAATTCTTGGTCCCTTCTGCCTCTGCATCATGTTTAGGAAAACAGAAGCTACCGCTCCAAACAAAAATAGTACGGAGCTATTTCAAGAGAGCTGCAGTGTATGTCAGCCACGTAAAATGCAAAACCCACAGAACAGGGATACTGCAAAACCCCAAGCATGGGAAATCCATGAAATTTCAGGATTATATTTAAACATAACTTGAATATGCTAATATCCTTAACTTGGCCCTGATGAAATAGTAGTAGGTAAAAATACCTGGAAAAACCCACAACAGCTATTTTACAAAGCAATCTGTTCTAACCTGGGAACGCAAACACTAAGGCACCGCGATCCTCGGCAGATGGGTCTGCAACCATTTTTCAGGGCTGCTGATGAAGGACAGGACAGAAATTTAGCCTTTATAACTATAATCAAATGAGAGCTACCTAAAGGATTTCAGCGCATTAAAACTAACTACTGAAGTTAAATGATTTGTTTATATATGAGAGAGTTAAGGGCGGTGGTATCAGAATAAACATTGTGACAACGCAGACAGCTTGGAACAACTATGGTCCTCAATTTCCAGTTAAACATCCAGACTAAAATAAAAAAGGTAAACTCTCTAATTCCCAGTGTACTGACAGCACTACAGTTTGATAAAGAGCTATATCAGAACATGCCTCCAGGTAAAGCCCCTCCACTTTGCAGATGGGACAGTGAGACTGGCCATGAAGTCACTTGTCAGACCACACAGCAGGGCAATCCAAGAGCAGACAGAGACATCCTGCGAGGAGTTTTATGGCTCACAGCTGGATTAGTGAGCTCAGACTTAGTCAAACCCAGAGCAGGAGCCACAGCTTCAAGCAAATTTCTCTCTCAATCTGCTAACCTTCTATTTCTTGCCCACATTCTGTACTTTTCCTCAGTACTATTCTCCTTATCTTGTCTCCCTCCTATCACAACAGTACCTTTTTCTAACTTGCTCCTAAATCCTGATTGTTATAACCTTTGGTCCCACTGACGCACGGGACCTATGCATTCTCTTCTCTTCCTGGAGCATGAACTGACCTTCAAAAGATGTCTCCTATGAAGACTTTTTTTCTCCTTTGTGGAGCCTGGGGAGTGAAACACACGAACAGGTAAGCTGCAACCAGGGCTTAAGCCACCCTACAGCATGCTGAGCAACCTTCCTTTTTTCATTTGCAGAGTTGCCTCCTCCAAATTAAAGATCTGTGCAACTGTTGCTTCATGCAGCATCTTAAACTAAACGGCCTCCCTTACTCTGCAACAGTTCCAGTTCTCCTAAAGAAGCCACAGGGTGAAGGAAGAAACAGCCCTAACTTGCTTGTTCTGCTCTGCATTACCTTGGTAACCTGAAGGAGCCCAGATCTGGTTACCCTAAGACAACACCTGACCTTGAGAAAACAATTCCAGATTTCATTGTCAAAGGAGCAGAGAGAGACACTGGTGCTGTCACGAGCTGCATAGCTCAGGTGTGGGTTACCTTATTTTCCCTAGTCATAAACTAAACGTAAACTATTAACCTATTTCATACAGGCACCTAAAAACTTACTGCAGTCATGTTTGGAAATGTTCCAAGACCTTTCTGGAAATAGCCTAAGGAAAAGCAAAGTATCCATATTTTTAATAAGTTTGACTGGTGCACTCAGCTGTCACTTCTGTGTCTGATTAGTGGCAACAGGTAGTTTTCCATTTATTTCCAAGCAGCTGCTAGAGAAGAACTGCAGGCAGCTGTAACCTGGGAACCGCAAAATTCTGCTCGCTGTCAGTTTCACACCAGTGTTTTACTTTCTTCTGTCCTCATTTATTATTCATCTGTATTTATACTCAACTCCAGCTCTCAGTTAACCTTTGCCAGAGGCTTAACCATTAGAGATGACTGTGAGGAAGGAGGGGAAAGAAGAAACTGCCATAAATCAAGCTGTTACCACTCCATAGAATTCCAGGGAGGTGAGAAGCCATGCAAAACTTGGGCTATTTAGGAAGACAACAGCTTGCACGGTAGATCAGACCAGGTCAAGTATCCTTAGCACTAAATATGAAAAGGAAACATCCCTGTTACAGAACTTTCCTTCTAATCATGCTCAGTTCCTACCCTTTGCAGGCCTTTATATCCCTTTTAAATTTTCATTCATCCTAATTCAGGGGATGTTCTTACATTTCATGTTTTCTGAATCCACTAAGCTCTGAGGCTCAGTAAGACCATGTCACATCTGTTCCAAATCAGCATTGTATAAAACCACAATTTTTCCATCAGCTTTCAAAGCACTGCCTTTTATTTTAAGAACACAAGATGATACTCAGTTATGAAAAGATGAACAGTTTGTCCTCTCCAAAGTAACCAATTTTAATTTAAGCAGCGGAATTAATACCACTTGTTTTTCACTCGTTATTGTCTTTATAAGGCTTCAAATCTTTTTGCATCTCTTGCCCGTTTCTTTTATCCCTTTTGAACAGGGCTGAACAGTGTGTCCCAGGTGAGGCCACACCATTAATTTCATGAAGGCATTCTATTATTTTCCAGACCTTTCCTTGCACGTCCTTACATTTTGCTCACTTGTTTTGTTCACTTTACTGTAAATGAGAAGCCCACTCTGTTTTTTTCTTTAGAGGTAAGATGAATGTAATTCATGGCAAAGACTGTCTGTAAGTTTTCCAAAATTGAGACAAAGATGCCATGTATACGTGCTGCGTATGATAGTTTTCCACAGCAGTGTGAGAGGCATTCAATTTATTGCACACTTTCCCCAAATGTTCCCATGTATCCAGATGGCCTGCAATCCTAAGAAACACTCTAGGATTAGGATTGCATTTTTGGAAATTCTTCCCCAAGTCTTTTCCAGCAAAAGTAGCTTCAGCACTCTACCCAGCCGAAACATAATATCATTTTACTCTGCTTGATGTAAGCATTATTGTCTAAGCATCCAGTTGGAACGGGAATGTCGTTAGGAATTCAGAGAAGTCATCTTCCACTTCTTCAGCATTCAATCATAATGAAGGCTCTTCAGCGTTCCTCCTCCAAACCTCTTCCTTTCAGAGAAGCCAGGAATCTAGAGACAAAACAGACAAGCCGTCATGTCAGAAGAAGCGTGAGCTCCCTACAGCCCACATTCCAGTGCCTGTTACCAAGCCAACTGCAACAGTGCCTTCCTCTTCCACACTGTCTCCAGAATCAGGAATAAAATGCTTCAGCCTACTGCTAGAGGATCACCAGCAATTAAACAAGATGCAAAACTGAAGTATGGCTCACTTGTCCTACGGAGCTCCTTAAGGCTTTTTGGCCAGGGTTACAATGGAAGCCTTCGTTTCTTGGGAAAATCCTAAAACAGTTAATTACAGATTTCAAAATCTGTGTTTTCCCTCGGATTTGAAAGCATAAGAGCTTCTCCTCCATTCATTTTTAAAACTATAAAGTAGTATTTTCAAGTCCTACTACAGAGCTGTTGAGACTTTATGCCTTCTAACCCGAGACAGCAGCACTTTGCTGTTAGTTGAAAGTAAAGTTTCATCAATTGCTGGGAGCTTTATGAAAAACATCAGAATAGAAACGGCTGCAGCAACGCAAAGCTTTTGCAGCCAATCTGTAGACAGTGCTTGCACCATGACAATGAGTGCTTGCAAAGCAAATCTGCTTGAAACCATCAGAAGCTTCTCTGGCTTGAAGGTATTTCAAACAGACTAGTGATGCAGTGCACCTGTCAATCCCCCAAAAGAAGGAGATGCACTGCTTTCTAATACTGTGGAAGATGTCTGTCCTATTGGTGGCATCATAAAACTATTTGATTACAGCCCAGAACAACTTTTAGACATCTGACTACATGCAAGCAGAAACAGCAGACCCAGTAAACATATCCTCCTGAAACAATTCCACATTCTCATGGGAAATACAGTATATTACAACGTAAGGTGTTAACCAAGCACTACAAATCATGGGCACATATAGATGGTATGGGATGAAAATGTAACTTACAATACAAGGTTACACACTTCATTGGTAAACTGAGAAAGCTAAAGAGCATGCCCAAAATAAAAGTCCACTAAAAAAAACCCCAAAATTTAAATTTAATTAGAGTTTTCAGGCCGAAAACTCAAACAGATATGGAAGAGATTCATTCAGAAATTGTTCCATTCATCTCTGAACAGCCATAATCTCCAAGGGAAAAATCAGGCAGATTTTGCACAAAAGTGAGTCTCACCAAAACTGCTTTGGGAATTTGAAAAGGAAAAATGCAAGCATTGTAACTAAAAATTAGCAGGACACCATTGCTAAAAACTCTGCTTTAGTGTTTTTTATATCGAAGTCACTAACTAAGAGTAACAACTATTTATCAGAGATCTGATCGAAGTCTTAGCTACAAACAATTTGAAACTTGTCATTCTTTTCATCCTGAAGAAATCTATAATGGAAACACCTCAAAACACAAGTGATTGAAGAGACAATGTAGGAAACCCACAAACACATTTGTAAGATTTACATTAAGGAGATCATTTCAGATAATGACATTAAGGGGCTGTAATGATCTCCAGGTCCCACTGGGATTTTGTCTCGTTAAGTGTGACTGTCCACATCTCAAGATTTGTTCCAAGCTTCTGAGCTGTTTTCAGCGAAGCAGATGAAAGTAGTCCTCAGAAGGCTGTAATCTTTGGCACACGCTCATAAGGAATATAAAGTTAATCCCTGACTGACCACTAAAAATGATCAAATAAGAAAAATAAAAATATTACATCATGTATTAAAGACAAGCAGCACACAAGCAGATTTCTGCATTAAGCTATTATCCCCATGAAAGGTAGACCTCCTTTCACTAAAACGTGTGGAGAAGGAGAAAAGGAAGGAAAAAAGGCATCGTGCAGAACTGAAACAGGAAAAAGCAAATTTATTCTTAAAAGGATTAAAAAACGCTCACAGAAAGAAGGAATTTTGAAATTTTTCCTCCACTCTCCCTAGGGGGTTTCCAGCACAGCTACACCTAATGATCCACTCGATTGCATTTCAGTGCTGCTCATGGTGATTTGCAAGCACCTCATGCATACAACAAGCGGAACCTTGCTGCTCCCTGCCTGGCAGAAGGTGAGGGGCACAAAAAGCTGAAGCATCTGCCCAAACCAGGAGAGTAATTTTGCTACTTCTTCACAGACTGTACTGAAAACAGTTAATTCAGCCATGGAGGAATGAATGACAAGCTGGTGTCATACTGCCATTTTCCTCGTGGCTCCACTGGTTCTGTGAAAACTATCTGTACAAAACACAAAATGCTAGTTCCAGCTGTGCAAAAACAGCCTTTTCTTTGACTTTCAGGACAGCATCTCTGGCCTAAATCTGCAGCCAAGCAGCCCAAAGCTAACAGATCTGCAAGAGATCATATTTGCCCATTTTACCTCCCTCTCACAACTTCTGCTATGCTGGCATAATTATTTCACTGCCTATGACCTTACAGCCATTTTTCTGTCCATCTGAAACAGCTGTGCTCCCACAGATTTGAAGACTCAGCTACCAGCACAGATTACCATTTAAGTCACACGAAGCCCATGTTTTAGAGAGGACTCTGTCAGCAGTTCACATCGCACAGGGAGAAACAAAACACAGAAGGAGGAAGAGTGACAAACCTGATTGCCATCTCTTAAGAAGTATCTCTTCTCTATGACCTGGGAAAAACAGAGAATGGTCTTAGTTGGCACAGCTAACCTCAGATTCTGAAGAACGTTTCCCACATAAGCACTGAAACTCACGGCTAACTGGGACAAGGTCTGAACCCATGTCCCCAGCTCCAGGCTTACTGCTTAAAGTGCTCTATTACACGAAGGAGTTGTCACCTCCAGCCATTCCTCGTAAAGCTGTGCTATCCTCAACTTCTACACATCTAATTTAGTTAACTCTCATTAGTAATGGAGGTGATGGTTTGAGCGTCTCCTTACTGCATCAGTCAGTTATTCCCACCCTTCTCTGCAGGTGCAGCAGTTCTGAGCACTAGCAAAAGCTCATTCTGCAGGTGCACAACAACCCCAGTGGTTCTGAGCAGCCCCTGGGCACAGGTGATGTTTGAGAAGAGGTAGCCTGACTCATTCTGAGAATGAGGCACAAGCTGTCTGTGCTGCAGGATACCCACGGAAGCAGTACTGTCAATTGAAGAATCAAAAAGTGATTTGTATCACCCTGTACCATCTACACACTCCTCCGAAGAAAATTCAGGCCCCATTTCCTGTAAAGCATGACCTGTTACAGAAGGTGATCTGCTCCACCATGATCTCTTTGTCCAGGGGATGCTTAAATCAGAGCGTTCCTTCTGTCATTTTCACAGTAGGCCTTGATGGTCGTTTGTGCAGGAACGGAGAGTAATAAGCCAAATTTCTTAAATCCTAAAGTTTGCTTGAACCAGGAGCAACAGAGCTAACTACAGTCTTGTTAACTCCCCACATTCCTACCTTAGTGCACCGCAAACCCTCTGGCCTGCCAAAAGACTCCAAAAGCACATGCAGAGTGTCTTTGAACATTTGTGAGTTCTTTTTCATTGCTCTATGAAGACCAAGAATCAAACCTCCAAGCAGATTGGCTGCTTTTTTCTGGAGGTTTCCAAAAGCAGGCCAATCTTTGGCCTTCCCATGCCTGGCTTGAACCAACTCAAAAAATGGAACATGAAAGGAGGGGCCGACTCGTTCCATGTTCACAATACAGACAGTGTTCAAGATACAGAACAATAAAACATAATTTAACTGACTTGACTCACCTTATCAAAAAACCTGCTTAGCTTGACAGCATTGGATGAACCTGCAGCCAGGTAACGAGGATTGGTGCAATCCTGTAACACACAAAAGGCAGCAACAAACCAAGCATGAGGAAATCAGTCCAAGGAAGCCACACATGACAATTATGGGACCCTTTCCCCTCACACATACCCATGCAACCAGCTAGGGAAATACTGTGTATGTGCTGATTTCTGCTCCACGGTCATTTGAGGGAAAAGGTCAAGGTTTTGTGAACCAACCAGAGGATTCCAAGTGCCCCCTATGCACTCCACGTCTTCCCTCTGCCAACAGCTGCACAGTCAGCTAAGAATTTGTACAGGCTACGTGTGAGATTGTGCACGCGTGTGTGTGTGTACGAGCATTCACACAGCACGTGTGTATTTTTATACACATACATATACACATTATATACACATATATATAAATAAAGTGATCTTGATGTTTCATTCAAAGATAGTCTATGTCAGAGCTAAGAACACGGAAAACTGAACTCCCAACCATCGATTCTAAGCTTCAGTGACCTACCTAACACCCTCTGCACCTCCCTATAGTGAAACAAAGATGATCGTTCCACCAAGGAAGGGAGACAGCCAACCCAAACGTGCAGGACTCCAGGGTTACTGAGAGAATCTCCAAAAGCCCGAGTTTTGGAACAACATCTTTGTTTACTAAAAATGGGAATCACTCCCATATAAAAGAAAAACGACATGGGTGACAAGGATACTAACCAAATTTATCTCTTCAGCATTGAAATCCTCAGCCAAGAAAGCTGTTCTGGTCAAAACTTCATTTCGCTTTGTTTCTGGGATCTGGTCCAGCTTAGTTCCTATCACCAGCAGTGGAATCTGGTTATCAGCAAACTGCTCGCGGTCATAGTCACTGACGAGGGAAACAAATACAACTCTGAATGAGGCGATGGTCATGTAAGTGGGCACGGGGCACCATCAGACCCCCTGTCCCTTTCAAATCAGTCATTTATTTATCAAGGGTCATTAGTTATCTAAGTGACAACATGCTGTGTCTGTAAATTGAGGAAAGGCTTCTGCAGCCAAGTCACTACACTGGGATTGAAAGGGAAATGAGAAGAAAAGATGAGTTGGATTTCTTCTTGGCATCACAGAAGAAACACTAACACCAGCAGGAAATAAACAGGAATTCCAGTATTGTACCAAGTGTATGCTGCTATCAGAGACAGGAGGTGGCATCCCTGAACACCTATGTTCCTACATAGATACAGTTTTTAAGGAGGGACAATGAAATAAATTGCAACTGTGAAACACTAACCCTTTCCACCTTAGATTAATGAGGTTGTAATAACAATTTTGTGGTGGCGAGTTACTAATTTTTCTACATTCAAGTAAAAGCAGCCACTACAAGCTGAATTCCAAAAAGCATTGATTCAGATATGAATAATGATCAGACAGCCTTTATAAAATAAATAATATTGCAACTAAATGTCATCACAAACCCAAGCTCCAATCATTCCCCTCACACTTTCATTTTCACCTGAACCAAGATTTGTAGAAAGTAATTTTACAACCAACAGTAATGACTTGACCAAGCAATTGCTAATGGCTGAGCATCTGACCCTGACAGAAGTTAAGCTTTGGAAAATTAAAACAATTGTGAAGAACCTGTATGAGGAAAAACTGGAGAAACCTGCACTCTATATAGTGCAAATCCTCCTTCCCTTCTCTCGTGTTTCTACAGAAACACCTCTGTACCAGCACAGGCAGACAAACGACTGGTGCTCTTCCCACAAAAAGCTAACTCTTGTTATTGCTTTCCTGCTCATGTGTGAGGTTATCAGTGAGTTAAAACCTCGACTACATGCATATCAGGAACACGGAGATACAGGAGGAAATATTCGACAAGATGTTGGAATTCTAATTACCAACATGCTGTTTAAGCAGAGTTTTCTAAGCAATTTTTCAGCCATACTCCTGGAATCCTCCGCTGCCTAAATGAAAAATAGTCGAGTGAACTTCCTCAGTCTTGATGCATGAAGGGAAAGCCTTTTGGAACAGAGATACACCATCTCATGATACTTCCTGTCTCAGTACAGACACACAAGTCTTCAGGTATCAAGGGCTGGATCCATTCTCACACAGGCCTCAGACAAATGAAGGACACAGGAAACATCTTTCTCCTTAAAGCAAGGCCTCTGCCACACAGGTTAGGAATACTGGCAGAATGGCCCGATTAGCAGTGTAAAACAAAAAGAACAGCTATTTTCTTTTGATACTCCCCTCATTTTGTTGTTTCTTTTTTAAAAGTCTACCCACATCTACATGTAGGTTTTCCACTCACCCGTTTGTCACAAGAACTCCTGTTGGAGCGACATCTCTGTTGAGTGCTTCCAAAGACCAGCGATACAAATTCTGGGATGATTTCTTGTTGGTTAAGTCATGCACTAAAATTATCCCTACAGTGAAAGAGAAGGCAAGATGCTATTTAATGATGTATATTTTTTTCCTTATCTTACTAAAACGACACCTGCAGGTTCCTAGATATCTAGGAAAGAAGAAAGCCATGCATAACTGGTTCAGTTACAGTACATGAGTAAAGCTGAAAATATCAGGATGCAAGAGGTTTTTTTTCAAAGCTGCTTATCAGGAATTGGATAAGAGCTGAAAGAAAAATCTCGTGAAAGGAGGAAACAGCCACCTCAGGGTTTAATCCACAAGAGGCTGGCAGATATCCTCTGATTCTGCTCTGTCTAGCCCTAATGACACTGTAACTCTGCGTTACTGCAGCAGAGAGTTTAGCCTTTCTCCGGTTTACCCAGTTGCTAAACACAACTCTCTTTTTGTCACACTATCTAAGCAGCCTAAAGGCTGTTTCTTTGTTTCAAAGAGTTTAGATAGCACTATTGTTTTCCTGCATTTTGAAGAACTACTGCTATATACTTGGGGAGGTATCCAAGAGGGAAACAGACTCAGATAAACTTACACAATCCACCAAATGGCTGGTAGAAACATGAATTAATAAGATTTCATGTATTTAAGCTTAAGCTTCTAGCATTTTTCATTACCATGATCCTTCAAAATGTAAATACTGAGATAGAAAAACAACTAGCCAAGCTCCCTAGCTGTGCTATTAACAGACACCCACTTCTGATAACCACAGTTCCTAACTCAATTACCAACGCCTGCTAGCAAATTTCTTCTATTTATTCACACCTCCTGCAACCTGTGGAATGCTCCTACTTCCTCCAGGCTTCAAACCATCATTAATTCAAAGACAAAATGCAACTATGCCCCTTATCCTCATCAGGATTCATTCTCAACACATTTCACAGCCCACAGCTGTAGCAAACTTATTCATTTAGTCTTTCACCTGAACTCCCAAAGGTGCCACCCACAGCACACACCACAAACGAACCACATTTCCTCGTTCTCCACTACCTCACATGACTGCACAGACTCTCCTAGGAGAGTTTCCAGAATATTACCACCATAGCTCTATTTCAAAGCATTTACCTCCTTAACAGCATCAAAAGGCAACTCAGCTGCGTGTCCACCTCCAACATCGGGAGAAAAAGCCTCACACAACATAACTTGGCCTATGGCAGCAGATTTGGAGGCACTGCTGCCCAGTCTGAAAGAAACGCTCTCCTCTTACAGACGCTCTTCCTTGGTTATGTTTTGGTCGGTCAGTTCCCTTACCTGCTTCATTGAAAACCTACGCAGTTAGCTCCACCAGCAGAAAAGGACTATTTCAACATCAAAAAAAGGGCAGGCAGGACCAATGACTACTCAAGGAAACAAGGCCTGCAAGCCTCAGCCTTCACTGCCCAGATACTATCCCAGCCCACACACCAGATGCAGGGACATCGGAGCAGAAGATCTGCAGCCAAACCAAAAGCAAACTGTATCTAACCTGCTCAGCAACCAGGTCTCGCTGACGGCCTGCACAAATGCTGTAACAACCAAATATTCACTGTCTTCTGATCTCAGGTTTTCAGACCACTGACAAGCAGTCAGGCAGAAGCAATGCATTCATCTTCTCACATCAGCTCAAACAGAGGCAATTTGTGAGAGAAGCTCTGATGAAAGAATTAATCTAATGAAAGAAACTGGAGCCAAGGCTAACTACTAAAGTCAACAGTTTTCATATGCGAGCTGCCTAATAACGTCTTTTGGGCAGTGGAGATGAGTAACTCTATTTTAATAACATCATCAATTATCATTCAGACACACAAGTCCAAGATTTCATCTCCTAATGCGCTGTTCTAGGATATTTCCAAGTCTGACCCACACTCACTGGCACACTGTGAATTTGCTGTCAAAAATAAATACATTTTTTTCATCTATCAAAGAAGCTTGCTTTAAGGGCACCTCTCAACTCAAACCCTATTTACAGAGGGTAAGAGTCCAGTTAACAATATACACAAGAGATACTGACACACCGTTTTCCTCCTGGGAAATGAGGAAGAAATAACTAGTTAAATAATCACAGAGCAAAAATGTTTATTGTGTGGCTTAACACGTTACTATCAAATGATTGGGAACAAGGAATGAGAATCAAAACACTTCAGACAGAGTTTCAGAAGTATTTGTTGATGTGGTATACATCTATTTTTAGAGAACTATCCTTGGATGCCACAAAGTAACAACTGAGATACTGCATTATTAAGTTTATAATCTCTTATTTGCAATAAGATATTGCAAATATCTTATTTATAATCTCTTTTTTATTATAATCTAATAATGATTAGTGGTACAGATTAACTACTAGGCCTTTAAGTCAGTATCTCAAGAGAAGGCATAAAATACCTCTTTCTACCTACAGCAAGTTGCAAGATTCAATTAATAAAAATAATTTGGCAAATTAAATGAGCAGAGGCAAGGTGGTTATCGGGATATTGCAATTTTATGGGAGAACAGTTCAAATTTGGCAAGGCAGGATATAACTACGAAAGTTCATATCAATTCAAATAATCACTTCCTTGCTGTAGGTCTTGGAACTGAACAGACAAGAAAATATAAATCATATTTCTGCATGTATATCAGGCCTGGAAAGGCGATGGCAAACTTTACGGCTGTGAGTGTAGCAGGAAGAGATGCCCCTGCAACTTCAAAGGCTCCCTGTTGTGCCAGCTGCACAAGACTGAAGTGAAGGCTGATGAAGCTCATCTGCACAGGTGTCCTAGGTTATGATGTAAGATGTGCCCAAAAGTATGTATTCTATCACCATCTTCATGAGCTGCTGAAACCAGGTGGGGCAATGTTTCCCTTGCCTCCTCCTCCCAGACTGTCATCTGTTAATGGGCCATCAATGCCTTGCCCAT